ATTAACTTTCTAAGGAAAACAGAATCCACTTGAACTATGCAAAGCATACTATCAGGTCAAACCTTGTCTCCTTTATTCAGATGAAACAAATTCAGGATCATTCATCCAGAAATTATAATGGTGACTGAGGACATGTCCACACTTCTGGGTTGCTCTGTCTTCACTAAAGGGCCACCAACAGCTTCTGGAGGGCAGGAATAGATATTGCCTTCTACTCACTTGCAGGTTATCATAAATCTGCTCATGTTTTCCTGCTCCAAGTTCAAAAATAGTTTCCAGGTTGATGCTGATCCAAGTGTTATTTTCTAGTTTGCTGTCTTTTCCTTTTTCTAGGCAAAGCCTTGCACTTCATTTGGCTAGTGCAGAGGCAGAACTGCCCCCTCACTTGATTTGATAGTTGCTGCTCTGTAGCTCTCTAATTGCTGCAGCTACTGTTGAAAAACAGCAATCTCAAAATTGCTTGTGTTTGTTATATTTCAGTATTTTAATAGCATAGTGGTTATAATAGCATAGTGGTTAAAACACTTGCCTGATATGTGCATTGGCCCAGTGGTAAAGTGATAAGCTTGGTGTGTGCTGAGTCTTTTTTCTCCCTTTGTTGCAGGGAAGGATTTCTTACACAAAATTTTTCATTAATCAAAATGGATAATACCAATTTATTTCTAATTCTTATCACTATATTTATTTTTGTGCCCATACTTTATGATTTCTATATTTGCTATGCATCTAAGGATTCTTATCTACAGCTTTGGTGAGTTTCTATTAACTTCTTTTCCTCTTTTTTACCCTTTTCTTTTACCAGCTTGAATTGCCTACAGTTGTGCAAATTACCAGGCTCAGTTAGCTCTATCCTTGGCTTATCTCCCAACTGTGAACTGGGAGGAACTCCTCAGCTTGATTTTTAGTTCCCCTTTATGCTGTCCTAGGTTTGGCTGGCTTTGTTGCTGGCTAGGGTTTTGGGGATTTTCTGTCCTGAGCTGCTGTGGGGACTTTAACATCTCTCAGTCCCTTGGCTGGGAGGTGAAAAGTTTGTTATGAGCTGCCAGCTGGCTGTTGGCACTTCTGGAGTTGGCATACCTATAGAGCTCTGCTGCTCCACTCAGCTTTTGGCTGCTTACACCATGCCTGATTTTTTTCACATTGCCAGTTGACTGCTACACATGGCACCAAGCCAACTTTGTCTTGGTATTTTCTGATTTCCTCCTCTTTCCTTTCCTGTCACCTTTCCTTTTCCCTCTTCCTAACACATGTACATAGTTTCTGAGAAGGCATTCTTCTTTTATAGTTGGAGGTTCAGGTGTCATCCAGTTAATTCAGCTGTTTCAAAGTTATGGAAGGAGAGAAAAGAAAAGGGGAACTTAGGCAGGCCACTGTGAACCTCTCCTTTCTTACTTAGAGAAAGAAAAATAGTAATGAAAAAAAATCTGTCAGGGTTTGAACTGGTAACATTCTACTTGTCAGACAAGTGTTATAACCACTATGCTACTAAGATTCCTGTTTTTTAGCAGCTGCAGTAGACTTTATTGACCCAAATGCAGGAAATGAATTTTTGTTTTAAAGCTTATTGTTGTGCCTGCATATATGTACATTTTAATACTATAATTTTGTCATATAAATTTAACTTTATATAGATATACTTTTGGGTCTGTCTGTGTATATACACACAAATAAATATATATATATATATATATATATATATATATATA